CACTATCCAGCCATGATTTTGTTTTGTTACTCACTAGCCGGATATGCTTTAGTTTTGTCGATCACTAGCTGGATGTGCTTTAGTTTTGTTGATCACTAGTCGGACATGTATTGTTTTGCTGCTCACTAGACAGATATGCATTGTTTCACTTTTGTAGCACACTCGTGCTTGTGTGGTGTACAAGAAGTTGGAGAAGAAGTCATTCACCGTCATGCATTGTTGGTTGAAGTTGAATGGGCAGCCGAAGTGGAACCTTTTCATTGCCAAGACCGCTGCTCAAGCTAACGAGGAAGAAACCGGTGACCCTACCGACCCAGCCCAAGAACCACCGAAGAAGGTTAGAAGAAATCTGTGGGGCAAGATGTGGGAGGAGGAGAGGACGAAGCGAGATGGTAAGGCTGTCAAGCTGACAGAGAGGTTCGAGGAGATCTTGACGAAGAAGGAAGAGGCATGCGTGAGGCGCTCGAACATCAAGGAGGAGCGGAAGGCGGAAATGTTCAGGCAGTTGATGGAGGCGACGGAGAAGAAGATCAAACTCGAAGAGAGGAGAACCATGATCGAAGAGAGTAAGGTGGCGTTCCAGGAGAAGAAGGTCGCGCTCTAGGATGAGAGGGTGAAGATCGCCACAAATGCAGGGGACGCCAAGATGTTGACCTTGAATATCGATTCTTTGGATGTCGATTCTAGAATTGTCGTGTAATCTGTCCGCTACCAGATGCTGGAGTGGTAGAAAGATGAGTTGGTGGCGGCGGAAGACGTCGGAGGCGGAGGTGGATGCGAAGGCGGCCTATGCGGCGGCGACGACACCTCCTTGATCGAGAAGCATCTTGCTGAGATGGCCGGTCTGACAGAGCAGAAATGTACGGACTGCCGGACTGATGCTCTTTTGGATTTTGACATGTTAAAACTAAGTATATTTACCTGTTTTTGGTTGTGATCCGGGATACAATTCGACGCGGGTGTGATCCGGCGTGTTGTGTGGATCAGCGTAAATTTGAACTTAGATTTGCTTGCGGTCAAAATATGGCTAGGTTTGAATAACGTTTTCCCGCATCCGTATCCGCGGACCGATCCCTTATAGAGAAATTTGACGGTGGGAGATGACTTTACTACGCATGTATACCGGCCGGATCCATCTATCATGTCAACCACAAAAGCGAGATAATGACCCGCCTGATTTTGGACATGTACACGTCCGGTAAAGATGGTGCCTAGACACCCGCCGAGCCACCGTGTAGTTATTAGTTTTGAAAAGAAAAGAACGAAAGGATCTCATGGCTTTCTTCTGCATCGATCGATCAGGTTGTCATTCCTCATCCGACCATTATACAACTGCTAAACACCATCCTCGTTGGCACATTTGTACATATACAACTGCTAGTCTTTTCTCCCTTTATCCTTTTTCCTCTTAACTTTCACTAAAATTCATCTTTTTTTCGTTTTCTATAAGGACAACTCCACCGCGCGACCCTATCCTGTCCGCCCCCATCCGTTTGGGGTAAAAGGCACAAATGAACGGCCCAGCGCGCGGCCGTAAACGGACTTTTGTCCGCTTTCGTCCCATCCGCGGCCCAAGTTTGCGCCACCTTTTGGAGTGAAACGGACACCACGAGGACACGCGGGTCGTCTGCGCGTGTCCTCTCCTGGCCCGCCCGTCGGTGGCACAACGCAGGCCTTTTTTCTATCCGCCCCCTCCCTCCCTCCGGCCGCACCCCCTCCACTCTTCCCCACTCTTCCCCTCGCCGTCGCCGCTGCCATTGCAGCCGTGCAGTTCGGACGCGAGCTCGCCCAACCCCTTCCCCTCGGCGCCGCCGAGCTATCCAACCACGGCCACCTGGTTTGCGCACCCGCCGGCCGATTTTGCGGCGGATCCGGTCGGTCTTGAGCTCGGCCGGCTGTGGGAGGCCGGGCCGCGCCATGGACTGGCCGGACACCTCGCCGGAAGGCCCTGGCAAGGCCGCAAGACCACATGCAGGCAGTGACTCCTCTTCTAGCCGCTCGGATCTGCACCATCGGTGGTCCGCCAGCAGATACACGAATGGCGGTCGGCCGGGCTCGGTGCTTGCCCAAAAGCTCGCCGGCGCACCGTTGCCACTCATTAAGTGCGACCACTGCCCAAGGATGGTCGTGCGCCGCGTGCCTACAACGCCGGAACATCCCGGATGAGTGTTCATCAAGTGCTTAAACGATGGGGTATGCGCTTTTTTTAGCTTCGGTTTGTGCTCTAGATTTGACTAGTTGTACTAACTTCAAATTTTGTTGTGTAGAATGGATGCAAGTTTTGGTATTGGGAAGAAATGTACATCGATATATTGATAGAGCGAAATTTAGTACATGTTCGTGCACTTTTAGCTAGCATAGAGGCTGTAAAATGAGACAAGTGCACTTGTTGCTAGATTAGAGGCTAGACACGAGACTAGGTGTGAGGAGGAAGCAACATCGACTTTTGGCTTGAAGAAGAAAGGAGGATGCCAGATCGAGCCTCCTCCTCCATAGATCAACAACGAGTGCATCGAGAAGGCCCTAACCCAACTCAAGGGAGCAGTTATGGAAGTTGGGTATGTTTTAAAATGTATTCTTGTGGTTCTTGTTTTCTTTGGTCTTACTTTACTAGTCAAAATGTGATAATGTATTTTTCATGTACCAAAAATGAATGATGAAATAAAGTTAAGGACTTGCAAAGAAATAATACGTGGACAGGATGTGGCCTGGATGCGTCCGCGCGTTGGGCGCACGGTCACCGCATCCCAGGACACGCCCGGACACAACCCCAAATCCATACCCAAACGGATAGAATCCGGACAAAACGGACGTTCGTTTGGAGTCGCGTGGTGGAGTTGGCCTAAAGCTATAAGGGCATCTCCAGCCGTTGGCCCCCAGGAGGGGCAAAAAATCGCCCCCTGGGGGCGCACCGGCGCTAAACCGCGCACTGGGGGCGTGATGCCCCCCCAGTCGCGGCGCCCACGGTTAGTTAAAAAAGTCAATTACGGCGCAAAAATGACTCAAATTTAATGCAAACATCGGCAAGTTCGTTCAAACTTAAACATATTTTACAAAAAAAGGAAAAAACTACCGCGGGCTACCCCCGCCGTCTCCCTCGCCGTCCGCCTCGCCGCCCGCCCACGCGGTTCTACATGCCGGTAGAACCGCGTGTAGTCACCGCCGTCGTCGTCGTCGTCGTCGCCGCCCCCGCCTACGCCTCCGCCGTCCCTGCTGCATCCCTCCCCCGGTTGGCGCGGCTGGTTGGACGGTCCGGGGGCGTCGTCGTCGCTGTCGAGGACCACGACGCCGTGCTCGTCCTCGCGCCCACGCTTGCGGGCGGCGATCTCCTCCAGGGCCCGGCGCTGCTGGACCATCTCGTCGCGGAGGTAGTCGTCCCGCGCCCACCGCAGGGCGTCCTCGTCGGAGAAGCCGCGTCGGGCTATCTCCTCGTACTCCGCGGGGAGGCCGGGCTCCGACTTGGGCTCGACGAGGACGAAGCGGCCGGTGGGTGGGGAGGCGTTGGCGCCGATGCGAACGCCGGAGCTGCGGGTGCGCGCGCTGACCGGCGTGCCCTGGGGCTCTGGCTTGACGGGGCGGAGGCAGGGCGAGCCGCCGGACGAGGAGGAGGACCCCCCGGTCTCCATGCGCCTTGGGGTCCAGGAGCTTCCCTGGCGGCGTGAGAAGGAAGGGGGGCGGGGTACTCGAGGCGCGGCGTGTTGCCGCCCTCGATGTACTCGAGGACGGCCTTCAACGTGTGCCCGGGCACGCCCCACCACCGACGCCGGCCGACGGCGTTGAGCCTGCCGGAGGGCTCGACGCCATTGGTGGCCTCGAGCTGCTCGGCATGACGGCGGCGGAAGTAGGTCTCCCAGAGCGGGCTGTCGGGGATGTACCGTGGCCCCTTCCTCGCCGCACGCGGCAGGGACGAGCGAATGCGTGCGATCTCCGCACGCCGCGCCGCGCCGGTGGGTATCGGGGGCACCGGCACGCCGCCGGCGCTGATCCTCCACGCCCCGGGTACCCGCATGTCCGGCGGGACCGGGTACTCGGCCTCGAAAAGGAGGCGAGCCTCGCTCTCATGAAGATGGCGGCGGCCGAATCCGTTCGCCGCCGCGCCGTCGCCTGGGAAGCGCTCGGCCATGGGTGCTGGAGACGGCGAGGGAGAGGAGAAGGAGGAACGACGACGGCGAGAGAGAGACGAGGGAGAAACGACGACGGCGAGAGAGTACGAGTCACCGAGTGCTTTGGGACGCATCTTATATAGGCCGAGGCGCCGCCCGTGCGCGAGCCGCCGTGAGTACGCGTGGCGGGCGAGGGAGGGCGAGGGACGCGCGTCATCCGGTCTTCACTGCGCCGCCCGTGAGGCATCAATGGCGCAAGCTGACCGGCACGGCAGCTTTGGCATTGATTCGCCGCGGGAAACGAGGCGATGAGGACGACGAAGGGCCGAGAAGAGGGTAGAGTCGCTGACGCAGCGGGCCCGTGACTGTTTCGCGCCAAAACAGTTCGTCCCGGCGCCCCCGGATGCTCCCCAGCGCGCCGGGTTCGGCCTGGGTCCGCTGGCGCTGCTTTCGGCCCAAGCCGACGAAAATCGGGCTCCTGGGGACGCGACTGGACCGATTTTTCGACGCCGGCGCAAAAAAAAAACGCCTGAAAAGCCTTCCTCGAACGTGGTTGGAGATGCCCTAAACTAGCGGATCGACGTGGCATGTGAAAGCCCAAAGCAAAACAAGCATGCCCATGCCATACTCGTCCAAACAATCCCGGTCTCCCACACACGCTGAACGCGCTGGCTGACAAGCCGCTCGGCGCACGATGCGTCGGCAGCGGGGATCAGGATCACACATGCTCTCCCCTGGCCAGCGTGCCAGCCCCAGCAAACCCCGCCACCTTTCCGCAAAACCGCAAACCCCTTTTATGCCACCCCCCACCCCCGAAGGAAGCCCGCACCGCGTCAAGAACACACAGCACAGGTCTGGGAGAGCGAGAGCGAGAGCGGCAGCGGCGAGCCTGCAGCCATGGCGGTGAGCAACAACATCACGGCGTGCGTGACGCTGATGGCGCTCATCTGCGCGGTCCCCGTCATCGCCTCGGGGGTGTGGTTCGCGTCGGCGCAGGGGGAGGAGTGCGCGCGGCTGGCGCGCTGGCCCGTGGCCATCCTGGGCGGCCTCATCCTCCTGGCGGCGCTGGCGGGCTTCGTCGGCGCCTACTGGAACCGCCGCCGCCTCCTCGCCTTCTACCTCTTCGCCATGGCCGCGCTCATCGCCCTCCTCATCGCGCTCCTCGTCTTCGCCTTCGCGGTCACCCGCGGCTCGGGCGCCTACCCGGTGCTCGGCCGCGAGTACGACGAGTACCGCCTCGACGGCTTCTCCATGTGGCTGCGCGGCTACGTCTCCGACGACCCCGCCCGGTGGGAGGGGATTAGGTCCTGCCTCGCCGTCTCTGACACCTGCAAGAAGCTCGCCCGCCAGGCCGGCTACGTCACCGCCGACCAGTTCTACCAGTCCCACCTCACGCCGCTCCAGGTACTACGTGTTATCCATCACCTAATCCCAGTCCTATATTTTTAGTTGATTTTTGCGGGGAAGCATATTGGAGTGTTAGCTGAATGACGCTACCATGTAGTACTAGAACTAGCTAGGAGTAACAGTTTCACATTTACTGCTTCTTATAACCTGCAAGAAACTTACTACGTATACTAGTATATCGTTGTTTAGCCATAGATTTATGAAATACTCCCACCTTCTCAAACATAGGATTCCACAAAATGAGCATGTCCAACTCACACTGTTTCGACTGAAACTGTGGCCATACTACTCCACTAGATATGATGTGAGCAAACGCATCGGTAGTCACACTTATAGCCGAAACAAGACGTTGAGGTGTGCTTTAGAAGGATCCGGGCATCAGGTTATCTTGGCCCTCGGAGGTGCTACTAGACGATGAGGAGGGGAATCCATCCGGTGGCAACTTTCTGACAGGGCACAAAGAAGCGGTGCCCCCCATTCTTCACGGTCACTGTGATGTGGGCCACTCGGGTTCTCCAATTGCCAAATGGTCTTGAGGGGAATCCGCGCGTAGGCCCATGTAATTAAGCCCTTTGTGGAACAAATCTGGCACTGATTTAGACTGCGAATATAATTGAGTGGCGTATCAATGCTACTTTTCACTCCATCCCCTGAGTGAAAGCTTAACCCAAGTACCGTATATATCGGCAACAGAACCATGGAAGAGTTGCTGTCCCAAGAACGAGAAATGGACGGGGACAGTGCCGGGGACAAGGGTCGCATGGGTCGGTGCGTGGGGGCTTGTGATTAGTTCTAGAGTTGATTACTCCTGCTTATCATCTTAGTTCTGGGGTCGAGGGCACTTGAGCTCGGTTCTGCAGTGGCCGCACGCAGCATCTCGATGTCCTCATCTGAGGAGGGTTTGTCTGCCTCTGTTTGCCCCCGCGTGTTCCGGAGCTTTGGTCTCTCACACGTTCATGCATCCATTTCTAGGAAATTCCACCTCACGTGATTAAGAGAAAAGAAAATTGCTTCAGATCCAGCCACTGGCAATGTCGCAGGATGACTGATTCCTGTAAAATTTCTCAGCATAACAATACTAATAACTAAGCTGAAACGTGGGCTCTGAGTCTCTGACAACTGACGGAGCTTGTGGTGTGGTGTGGTGTGTGGATGCAGTCGGGCTGCTGCAAGCCCCCGTCGGTGTGCGGGTTCGGGTACGTGAGCCCGACGGTGTGGACGAACCCGGCGCGGCCGGCGTCGGACCCGGACTGCGGCCTGTGGAGCAACGACCCGGCGCAGCTGTGCTACGAGTGCGAGTCGTGCCGCGCGGGCCTCCTGGCGGCGCTGCGGAGCCAGTGGCACAAGGCCAACATCGCGCTCGTCGTCGCCACCGTCTCGCTCGTCTTCCTCTACCTCATCGGCTGCAGCGCCTACAAGAACGCGCACGCCGAGGCCATCTACCGCCGCTACAAGTGGTGATTCCCATTTCCCATCCCAGCACCGAGAACCAACAGCCATCTCCAAGTAGTATGTTTGCTTCATACTGTATTATTATTAGTAGCTTGGTAACTGGTAGTAAGCTAGTAGGGGAAGATGGGAACTTCAGATTTATGGTTTGCCCATGCATGTATCGTGGAGAATTTTAGCGAGGTGCAAGCGCTGTTGGTGTTGATGTGAATGTTGTAATATGCAGTAGAGATGTTCTTCAGATTTATGGTTAAGAATTTTATTATGTTTTGCTGTCCTCGTGGCTTGATTACTGCTAGAACTGCACCAGTGATCAGTTGAGACGGGACGAATCTCATCCGTTAATTCTTAATTTGTGACTGGTCCTATTTTGTCAGAATGTGGCTGCTCTGCACTAGCATCTGTTTTCTCGTGAGAGCACAGTTCTTGCTTTCTTAGGCCCTCCACTATGTCACCGGTGCCAAATAACTGAAAAGGGTGCCACGTCACTTCTGATGCCAAATGAAAATTTTGTGGCACCGGCTTCACAACGTAGGGCACCGCTCGATCTAAAAGTAGATGACCCCACGCAAAAAAATAATCATTGAGCTAGCCTTCAGAGTGCCTCGCCGAGTTCTTCCTCCTCTCGCCCGAAAGATCCCCTTTGTTTATCCAAACCAAATCAGAAAATTGTATCCTCCCTCTTTCCAAATCCAAGCTTGTGCAGCCAGAAACTGGCGGAGGAAGTGAATGGGCCGAAGCGGGTGGGGGTCGCGAGCAGGAGACCATGTGGCGGAGGAGATCGGACCATCCTGAGCTGGACGACCTCACAACGGAGGCTACCGGTGTCGGGCTGCCTAGCTGTGCGGGCTGGTCGGGCTCGCATCCAACGACGGAGGTCGTGGCGAGAGGGTTCTGGTTGTGGGCAGGCCAAGCTCACGGCCGGAGTTGTCAGCGTCGGGCCACACACAGGTGCTGTGCAGGCTGTCCAAGCTCGCGTCTTGGGGCGGAGGTCATGGCCAAAGGGTGGTGGTCCAGCGTTGGAGGCGAGCAGCGAAGAGCTCACCGGAGGTGGTGGACGAAGCGAAGGTAGTCACCGCAGTTGATTCGCGCGAGAAGGACGAGAGACAGGTGTGGAATAAGTTTTTTATTCGCTCGATGAATTTGGCACCGGAGCACCTACTTGCTCCGGTGCCCCCCAAAAAATTTATGGCACTGGCTGGGCAACGGAGGACACCGGTGCCAAATACTACAAAAGTCAATTTGGCATCGCTTTTGGCCCACATAGTGGAAGCCTTACACTGTTCATTGCTTGTCATGTCATGACATGTACGCAGACAATGCATGTTACCATGGCACGTGACTAGACTAACAAGGCCCTCTACCTGGTCTCAGTCTTGTTCGTTTGAAAGAAGGCCCGGTAACTGGAGTGGACACACCTAAGAGCACCTCCAACGTCCGCGCCAAACGACGCGCGCGCGGTAAACCCAACTTTTAGCGCGCGCGGGGCGTTTTGTCGCGCTCCTGTGGCGGCGGGAAACTCATGCGCGCGGGAACCGTTTGCGCGCGCGTGAAAAGGCGCCAGCTCGCGCGCCATTTTTTGCGCACCGCTTCCGGCGCGTCTATAAAGTGCGGCGCGCGCCACGCGCCTTTTCCACGCCTCCTTTTCTCCTCTTCCTGTCCCTCTCTGCCACGCGCCGCTCCAGCGCCCCGCCATCGACGCGCCTCCACCGCTCCAGCGCCCCGCCATCGACGCGCCTCCACCGCTCCAGCGCCCCGCCACCGACGCGCCGCCGAGGAGCGTCCGGCTACCGCGGTGTTCGCCTGCGCCCCAACGGCGGCTACTACTCGGAGATACGCTCCGGCGATCTCCGGCTCGGCCTCGGCACCTACGGGACGGCGCACAAGGCCGCCCGCGTGTACGACGCGGCGGCGTGGCGCCTAGGCTGGCCGCGCGGCCAGATGAACTTCCAAGATGTGTACACGCTCCAGCAGGCGCTCGACGTCGCCCCGCCGCCTCGTCTGAACACGACGCAAGACCGTGCGGAGCACGCCGAGCGGCAGCGCCGCCTCCTCGTCGCCCAGGAGGACGAGCGGATCATGGTGGAGTGGCGCCGGCGCCACCCGGAGGACGTCGCCTACGAGCAGGTCTACTGGGCAAGGTGCCGCGAGGAGGACACGCGAAGGCGCCGCGAGGAGCGGCTGGACAGGCGTCGGCGGAAGGCGTTGGCGAATGCGCAGTCCGATCTCGTTGCAGCAGGTGGGCAGTCGTTCTTCACGCCGGACGATGGTCGGTGGCTGGACATCTGGCTAGATACCTCGGACAACACCGCCGAGGATGATAATGGTGATGATGATAGCGACTTAGAGTAGTTTTTTTATGCAATCTATTTCGTTTTTTATCGTTTGTCGTTTTTATTATTATGCAATCTATGTTTCCGATGTAAAATACCTTTGTATCGTTTAAAATCTATGCAATCTATCTAGTTTTTATGCTTCCAATGCCTACATTTCTAGTTTGTAGAATGAGCGCCCCATGCATTTTAGCGCGGCTGCTGGAGCGGTCGCTGCGCGCCGCGCCAAACCAGGCGATGGGCGCGCGTTAAAGTTGTTTTTTGCGCGCGCCGCGTTCGGCGCCTGTTGGAGATGCTCTAAAGCAGCAACACCAATTATAAATATTGGCCTTTTCGCTTCGATGGAGTTCTCACTCTGTTTTGGAGAAGGGTCGTTGGGGAGCTGCCAGCGGTGGTATCGCTTGTTAGCGGTAGTACCGCGGGTAGTACCGCCATCTACTCGGGTCTCGATTCTTCGTGTCGGGTTGCACCGTTGCACGGTAGTCCAACGGTAATCCCTTTGGCTCACTTCCGTGGAACCCCCTTTGACCCAGTAGAGCAAGCGACAGTAGGAGTGGTACTACCACTTATAAGTCGTAGTACCACGCCTACTTCTGCTACCGCTACCGCTCGCAGCTTTGCTCTTCAGCGCTCCCCTGTTTTTCTTAGGGGTAGTAGGGAGCGGCAGTACCGACTGTTAGAGGTAGTACCGCCCATTCTAGGCGGCAATACCGCTGCTACCATACTACCACAACCCCCGCCATCACAGTGCGGTGGTACTGCAACCCAGTGGTAGTACCGTCGGAGCGAGCGGTAGTACCGCTCCGGCAGCACTACTAGCTTGTGACCTTGTGTCATTGCACTTACTTTTCTGCCACTACCGCTTGGGCGGTAGTACCGCTCCCCGAGCAGTAGTTCCATTTATGTGCGGGCTGAGGGCTGCATAACGGTTGGATTTGTCCCCCACTATATAAGGCCTTGTTTGGCACACCGGGATTGAAAGGGTTTTTAGTGGATTTTCCCCATTGGGCTTGCAAGCCCCTAAAAGCCCAAGAGAAGCGGTTGGTACAGTGGGCTTCGACCGGGCCAGCCCCAAATATCCCGCCACATCCTCCCCGATCCACCGGGCTTTCCAGCATCGAGGGGCACCTTGCAGCTCACACGCCTCGCGCGAGACCCAGCCGCAAGAACGACGCACACCAACCGTCTCCCTCGCCGCCACCGCTGCCTCCGTCTTCGTCGGATGCCTGATTCCGCTTCTTCCTAGGGCTGGCTGGCCATCTCCCCTATCGGATGTGGGGTTCCGGCAAACCCTTAAGGTTCGAACATCGGGGTTCGCGCGAAGTCTTTTCCTCCCACCGATCTACGCCCTAACACTCTAAGATCTCGTGGGCGAACTCGACGAACTCGCAACACAGAAAGACACATGATTTATACTGGTTCGGGCCACCGTTGTGGTGTAACACCCTACTCCAGTGTGGTGGTGGTGGATTGCCTCTTGGGCTGATGATGAACAATACAAGGGGAAGAACAGCCTCCTGAGGTTGAGGTGTTCTTGTGCGTAGCTAACTTGTACGGGTGAGAGAGTGATCTAAGATGTCGTCTCCCCGCCGTCCCCTGGTGGTGGCTAGCCCTACTTATAGAGGCCCTGGTCCTCTTCCCAAATATTGAGTGGGAAGGAAGCTAACAACGGCGGGCTAATTTGAAGGGGGACAGCTAGTACAAGCTATCCTGATAAAAGGTGGTCTACGCCTGCGAAAGGCTCTGGTGGTGACGCCGTCTTGGGCTCCACGATGACCTCCGTCTTGCCGTCCTTCTGGTCTTGGTCCTTTTGCACCAAAATGGTAACCTTTGCCTGATGCATTGGTACTCCTCGCTTGCGCTAGTTTCCTTAGCACCAAAGAGGAAACAAGGACGCTGCACGTGCTGGCGCCCGCCTGGCGCCCGCCTGGTGTCGATCGTCATGGCTCACGTCACGAGAGCCTCGTGAGGTTCGCCTCGCCTTGATATCTCCGCTCCTCGTGAGCCTGCTTGACTTGGCCGCTCCGGAGGAGGTCTCGTGTCGTCCTCCTCGCGAGGCTTGGCCCCTCGCGAGGGTCTTGGATGCCTTGTTGATGAAGATGGGCCGTACGGTCTGCTGGCTTAGCCACGTAGCGGGCCGCAGGCAGGCAAGTCTGGGGACCCCCGTTCCCAGGACGCCGATAGTAGCCCCCGGGCCCAAGGTGCGCTCAGGCTTGGCTTCGCGGCGAAGCCAAGGGCCAAGCACGGAGCACCGCGGGCCCCAAAAGCCCGCGGCCTTGGTTAACGCGTGGCGGTTGATTGGTCGTGGGCGTCTGCGCTTCCCCACGCTGCCTCGGCGACTGCACGACTTGACGAGTCCCTGTGACATGCAAGGGAAACCATCATTACCTGCGGTTGAGGGAGGTGCCGGTTGGCCTTCTTTTGCTATAAATGGGGAGGGGGACGGAGCCCCCATCGCCCATCTCTTCCTCGCTTGCGGCTTCTTCTTCCTCGCTCCACTGCTAGCACGAATGGCGCCTATTAGAAGGTTCTCCGCCGAAGAAAAGGGGAAAGCCCCCCGAGATGTCCCGGAGCAACTCTCGCCGAAGAAGAGGTCGATCCACCGCCGTGAAGAAGCGGCGATGCAGGTGGTGGCGAGGCCTTGGTGCGAGCGGCCTCCTCCAGGGTACCTGCTACCCC